ACTTAGCAAGCAGCCTGGACCCCGGAGGGGCGGGGCTGCCGGGAGCTGCGTTCAGCAGGCAGCTGGGCGGGCTCCGGCTCACCCTCTTCCTCCTCTTGGCAGGATGGAGCTGTGGTCCCTTCTGCCCTTCGCCTGCCTGGCCCTTTCGCATGCCGCGCCCCCCCCTTCCGGCTACCACGTGGCCCGTGTGGCGCAGCTCTCCACGGACTTTGGGGTGAAGGTGTTCCGGGAAGTGACAAAAGCCTCCAAAGACCAGAACGTGGCCTTCTCCCCGTACGGCGTGGCTTCGGTTGTGGCCATGCTGCAGGTGGCGTCTGGTGGCAGCACCCGGAGCCAGATCCAGGACGCCGTGGTATACAGCCTGAAAGGTGAGGGGCTGCCGTTGGAGGGCGTGCATAGGCCCTCGCGGTCCCTGGGGCCTCCCCCTGCTCCAGGGGGCCACTTCACTAGCTTGCTTTTTGGGGGGCCCTGGCCTCTGCCTGGGCCGCGGGGAGCCTCAGCTGCGCGTCCGGCCCATGCAGCCCGGACAGTCTGAACAGGGGGGCTAGGAGAGAGGTTCTGCTGCAGAGTCCAACAGCTTGCACACCCCGCATGAAGAGCCGAGGGGTGTGACTCTGGATCTGGAGAGGGCCTGGCTCCTGGCTCTGGGCCCAGCGGAGCTGAGGATGCTCTCTCCCTATAGAACGGGGCATCCCACGAGCCCTGAGACTGCTGCAGAAGACCCTGACCGACCCCAGGAGCGAGGACGTGGTGGAGATGGCAGATGCCCTTTTCGTGCAGCGCGACCTGCCGTTAGTCCCCAACTTCATGCTGCGCTTCCACCGCATCTTTGACCAGATGGTCAAGCAGGTTGACTTCACAGAGAGCGCACGAGCACGTGACATCATCAATGCCTGGGTGAAGCAGCACACCGATGGTGAGAAGCAGCTGGGAGGGCTCCTAGGGGAGGTACGGGAAGGCCCCGGGAGCCCCAGGAAGGACCCTCGGGAGCCCGGGCAGGCTGAGACTCGGCCCTTGGGTCCTCAGGCTGAAAAAGCTGGGGTGAGTGCCGGGGGTTCAGAGGCCGACGGACCCCTCAGGACCGGAAGCAGAGGTTCTCCTACAGCTCCCCCGTTGCCTGTCTCTGCTTTCCAGGGATGATCCAGGACTTCCTGCAGAAGGGGACTCTGGACGCCATGACGCGCCTGGTGCTGGTGAACGCCATCCACTTCAAAGGCCTCTGGCAACTCCCCTTCCCAGAGGCCGCCACACGCCATCGTATCTTCCACAAGCTGGACGGAAGCACCCTCTCGGTCCCCATGATGGAGCAGACAGCCCAGTTCAACTATGGTCAGTGGGGTCCCTTCCTGGAGAGGTGGGGAGCAGAGACAGAATTGGCTCTCGAGCCTGGGCCAGCCTGGGGAGTTTCTCTGAGCACGCACAGAATGCCTCTACGTCACAGTGGGGGTCAGGATGGGAAGGGTTAGGTCTTGAGATTTCCACGAGGTTCCGGTCTGGCTATCAGCCCTCCCTTCTCTTCCAGGCGAATTCTCCACCCCAGACCAAGTGGGTTATGATGTCATCGAGCTGCCCTACCAGGGGGAGGTGCTCAGCATGCTGATTGCTACCCCCTTCCAGCTGAACGCCCCTCTCTCGGCCCTGGCGGCCGCTGTTGACGCCCAGCTGATTGCAGAGTGGAAGAGCAACATGTCCGCCGTGACGCGGCTCCTCGTGTTGCCCAAGTAGGTGTGGCTTGGGGCCCGGCTCAGACTTGCTCTCTTCCCTGGCGAGGGCCACAGAGCTATTTGCGCCCCTCGCTGACCGTTCCTTCTCTACAGGTTCTCTCTGGAGAGCGAAGCCGACCTCCGCGGGCCCCTGGAGGCTCTGGGCATGACAGACATGTTTGATTCCCAGAAGGCCAACTTCAGCTGCCTCTCAGGTTGGGATCATCGTCTTGGCCCCTCTATGCCCCCTTGGCTTGCCCCCCTCCAGGCTGGGCACTGCACACCGATTGCAGGGAGCATGACGGGGCTAAGGCCCAAACCCAAAAGGAAGATGTCTCGGGGCACGTGCAGAGGTCCCTGGCGCGAGGGGGCTCGGGCGCCTGGCTGAAGCAGGCCGTCTGTTTGGAGCAGCCTACAGTGGCTTCTGCCAACACTCCTTGTTCCCCATCTGGTGCTGGGCCTGCCCAAGAGAAGGCCATTGCCCTGGCAGCAAAGCTAAAGCGAGCCTGTCTGGGCAGAGGACGTGGAGGCCGGTGCCAAGCTGATGGATCCCCTCTCTTTGCAGTCCGGGACTCGCTCTTTGTGGCTCAGGCGCTGCAGAAGGTGAAGATCGACGTGAACGAGAGCGGCACCGAGGCCTCTTCTGCCACAGGTGGGTGCCTCGGATCGGCTGCAGGGGCCTCTCTACTCCGATTCTGTGGGCAGACAAGAGCTTGCTTCTTGCCAGCAGCCCCCCCCCTCCACTGTTCTTAGTTGGCACCGTAGAAGCAGCATCTAAAAGCAGCAGGGTGTGGTGTCTCCTTTACACACACGGCTATTTGTTTTGCTTCAAAGTGGGTCATCCCCCAGGACTCCTCCAAAGGGCCTGAGGGAGGCGGGGGACCTGGGACACCAGAAGAAAAGCTTGCTGGGCAGTGGGTGGCATTGGTGCCCACTGAACCCACCCGTAAAATGTTAACCTGTTGAATGAGCTCTCAAGCACGCCCCTCGAAAACTCCCAACTCCTCCCTTCCAGCTGCAATCATCTATTCCCGGATGGCGCCCTTGGAGATCGTGCTGGACAGACCTTTCCTTTTTGTTGTGCGGCACAACCCAACGGGTAAGACCCGCTGCGGACCCTTCATCCTTTCACAGTTCAAAATTCTTCAGGCTACTCCCCAGTGGCTTTCAAGACTGCTCCAAAACAGCTTTTCTCCCAGGGTTTGCAGAAGTCCAGAGAAAAATCAGCTCTCCCCCCGCCCCCCGCCACTGCTGCCTCCCCAGCCACATAAAGGAGGGCTTCATTTGAACCAGGGCTCCCCCCACTGCCAGACTTGGCTTCGCAGCCTGTGTGCGGGTCAGAGTTTCCGGCACAGACTGTGAGGAAAACTCCTTCTTGCTCCAGTCCCACAGCTGCATGAGTTTTCCAAAGCTAGCTAGAGGTGACTAAACAGAGTTGGGTAGTTCGGTGTTCGGAGACTTAGCTGGCTGTGTGAACGGGTTGTTGTGTGAAGCTGCCACAGGGTGTATTTGCTTGGCATCACGTGTGATGCAAACACAGCCCAGGGTTAGGATTTAGCACGCTTTACGGCCAGCCAGCCTGAGCTTCGGGGAAGGCCTTTGGGGCTAGGGTCCTCCGCTTGGGCCCGTTGTGACCCCAAGTCCCATTCCGGCCATGGGGGGCGGCTCCAAGACATCCCGATGGACACTGGAACTAGACCGCCCTGGGTTGGGCCTCCTTCACCGGGATCAGCCAGCTGGATATCCAACTGGTGCAGGGAGGAGGGGGATCAGCCGGAGATGTCCAGGGCAGTTGCTCCCATCACCCGGTGACGGTCCTTCTTCAGGGGGAGGTTCCCGGCATGGAGGGCCCACGCGCTGGCACCCGCGGCTGTTTCAGGGGTACAGGGCCACCCTGGTGGCCACCCAGCCTCCCTTCTGCGCCCACCCAGCCAAGGAAGGCGGCCACAGCAGCCGTGCAAGTCCGTCCATTCCTGGCAGCTGTTGCGCCTCTGTTCTGCTTGCAGGCACCATCCTCTTCATGGGGCAGGTGATGGAGCCCTGAGCGCCCCCTCTCCCGGCGCCGGACATCCCTCTGAAGCCGAGGAGGCCCTGCTTCCCTTCACCTGGCGCTGCCCTCCCGAAGGCTCCCTGCCGAGGGAACCCCGACCCACCGACGCCGAGGGGATGATCAGGGTGCTGCCGCACCGCCTCCTTGCCCTTGCCCGAGGCAGCCTTCGCTGCGGCACCGTCCCCGCCCGGCCCGGTGCTCCTGGCATCCAGGGCTGCAGCGCAGGAACCGGGCGCCCCGCGAGTCGCCATTGGCGGCGAGGGTCCGGAGAGGAGGCGGCTCGAGGCCCGAGGGGAGACCTGCCGACGCCGTCGAGGAAGGCCGGCTCCGGGAAGGGCGCGGGTGCCGCCCGGCCGGCACTGCCCCTTTCCGCCGGAACAGGGAGCCGCGCTCTCCT